ATTTTTTTCCCATCTAAATGGATTTTTTTCCCATCTAAATGTCACTTTTTCAGTAGGAAGCCATTCCCTGTGTCCTGTCCCTGCAGGCCTTGTCCCCAGTCCCTCTGCAGCTCTCCTGGAGCCCCTGCAGGCCCCACAAGGGGCTCTGAGCTCTCCCTGGAGCCCTCTCTTGTCCAGGCTGAACAGCTCATGCAGAGCTGTGGGTTTTTTTCCTGTATCTCCTTTAACCAGTGGAGCATTTGCCAGTCAGGATCTCAAGGACACAAAGCACAGAGATGCAATATTGTGTTAACTGTGCTTGGCACCCCTGTTCCAGGGGACATTTTGGAAACTCCAGCAATGTTTTGCTTTGCCTTTCTCTGAAGGGGACACAGCAGGTTGTGTGGCTGCTGCTCCTGGAAGGGCTCTTCCAGGGGGATCCAGGCAGCTTTTCCATCTGCAGCAGAGCAGCTCCTGCTCCTCCAGCCAGAGAAGGCCAGGGTGCCATTCAGGGCATCCTGATCCACAGGCAGGGAAGCACTGAAAGCAGGCTTTGTGCTGCTCCAGGGCATTTGGCAATAGCAGCATCATGCCACAGGTTAATCAATGTGGTTTGCACACACCCTTCCCCAGCCCCATTTGCACTGAGCAATCCTTTCTGTTCCAGATTAAAAGAACACAGTGGCTCTAAAACCAATTATTCGTTTACTTCAGTGACTGTGTCAGTATTTCTGTTTACCACAGTGTGTGCTAAGAGAGACAACAAGAGTGAAAACACTGTGGAAAAAACCAGTATCCATTTAAAAGAACATTTAGACTGTAAACCCAGACAATCAGATATGTTCTTATCTTTGGGTTAACATAATAATAATAATAACAATAACAATAACAATAACAATAATAATAATAATAATAATAATAATAATAATAATAATAATAATAATAATAATAATCTTACACAATTACAGCAAACCTGTTAAAGGTCACAAGCCCACAAACTCCATCACAATCCAGCATCCAGATGGGATCTTCTGCAGAACATTCAGGATGGGCACTTGGTCCCTGGATAAGCTCCTGATCCTACAGCATTAAATCATGGCTTGGACCAAGTCCAGAGACACATGTAAGGATCAGCTGCCATTCCAGATCAGTGTTTGGAGGGACTGGTTTTACTCCAGGAACTCACACCACATACTTGGTCAGCTCTCTCCTGGAAAGCAGCACCCAAACTTCCTCTGGTACAAGGTCTGAGCATTTTCAAAGCAATTTAAAAATTCATTTCTAGACTGAAGCACCCAAGATGTCAGTGGACCATGGGCACAGCTCAGAAGCACTGAGGTAATCCACCAATGACTTCTTCCATAAAAAAAAGTCAATATTTCTGTTAAAATCCACCAAAACTTTTGTCTTTTGAGATGATGGGTTCTTGTGAGATGATGGGTTCTCTCTCGTGAAATCGCTGTTTAATCAAGTGCTGAAATCTCAGTACTGGCAGGGAAAAGTCAGGATTTTTGCCTCTAAATCACTGGATATTTGGGCCTCACTAATATCTAGTGAATCTGTGAATTTGATTTAAAGATAGTTACAAGCTCTGCACTCCAGAGAGATCCACATGGCTGACAGGCACACACCAATTAGAGGGATTCCCCACGTGCTGGTGTCTGCTTTAAACCGAGCCAAAGGGGAAGGGGCTCGGGGCTCCCAATTATTTCTGGCCTTTCATTCTAGCCCAGATCAATTTTAAAACATTCCAAGACAGCACAGGCAGGACCAAAGCACTTTCTGAAGGCAAAGCAAAAAGTGTGCCAGAGCTATATATAGTGGCTGCTCCCAGTAGGAAGCGAGTGGGGAACATGTCAAGAGCACAGGACTGGAAACCCCTGGAAGTAGGTTACAGAAATCCTACAGAAACAGGACAATGATTCCCAGCATCCATCCAGGATTGCTGCTGGATGTTGTACAGCACCAGCCAAGCTTAAAGGAATTGGTGAATAGGATGTTACAGCCCCTTCTTCCTCCTCCTCCAGCACACAGACTTGCAACACACACTGAAAATGTAAATTCAAACCCAGGGATAAAACCCACACAAAGGCTGATACCACATGGAATGGCTGAGATTTATTACACACCCCTGCTTACCTGTTACAACTTGCTCACAACCTAAACAAGCTCCAAGTGTTTGCAACTCACAGAGCTTTCAAAAGATCCCTTTTCCCCTCTTCTCTCAAAGAGCATTAGGATGAAACCAAACCAATGAGTGAGTAAGAAGCTATAACACAATCAATGGCCAATATTATATATATTTATATATTTTTTAAATGTAGCTACAGTAGACTTTTACCCAAGAAAACAGGGATTTAACATCAGTATTTAAATACCATTGAACAGGCATTTCATTTTGGAAATTAACAATCTCCATTCTGCAAATACTTCTCTGCTTTCATTAAAACCAATTTTTTGCCAGACTAAATCTGTGCATCCCAGTCATCCTGTGCTTACTTGAGCAGAGCCAGGAAGGCAGCAGGCTCCACGTCAGGCAGCTCAATCTCAGTGGAGGTTGTGGCCATGCCACCATTGAACATGGCATCGAAGACAGCGCTGCCCACGGCCAGCACGAACCTAACGTGGAGAAAAAACCAAACATGCAAATAAAACCTTATGTGAAATCATATTCATATTCCAAAAAAAATCCCAGGCTGGTTGCTTAGCCCTAAATCCACCCTCAGGGAAGGCAAATCGTTTGTGGAGTTAAAGCAAAAGTGTTTTGCAAGAGCAGGGAGGGTCAGGATTGCAGCTCCTTAACTGCAAAGCACCAAAGCTGCAAGAACTTCCCTCTGAGCCCTGGCCTGGCACACAGAACAGGAATGGCTCCCCACAGGCCACATTTTGGGAATTATGGAAGAGAATACACAGGCTTTGTAAAGCCCCTGTAGGAGCCTATGTATAACCTGTTAAAAATGCGTGTTTTATGATTGGTTTGTCACAAATATTAAAATGAATATTATATGTGTTGTGTTAGAAAGTAATGCTGTATTAATTCTCTTAAGTAGTGTGTTAGATATAGTTTTGGGTTTAAAAAAATGTTAAAATAGAAACTATGCTATGTAAGATACTTGCACTGAGATAGCAGCTACAAGACACCTACATCTTTCAGAGAAAAAGAATTTATTGCTCTTTTATCAGAAGAAACAAACTTCTTCCCACCTCTAAGGTGTTGTTAAGATTCAGAAGAAGTTAATGATGACCAGACAGAATCCTGTGTTTGAATGGAATTTGTGCATCATGTATGAAGTGTATGAATATGCAACAGGTTACTGTTTTTAAGGGTTAATCCTCTGTTAACTGTGTCCTTTTTCAGGCTCGTGCTGCCCAGAAAAAGGTACCTGCACATCTGTAACTCTTTGTCTCTATTGTCTCCTAATTCAAATTGTCCAAATTATTATTATTATTACTACTCTAATTGCATTACTATTTTTATAACAGTTTTATTACTATTAAACTTTTAAAACTTTAAAAACAAGTGATTAGCATTTTTCACATAATCCCAACGTTGAGAAGCAAAGAAACAGCAAAGTGAAGGAGTTCAAGCTCTTCCAGCAAACAGAGCCCAAGTCTTGCTGCAACTCCCCACAGTCACCAACTGGAAACACTTCTGGAAAACTGCACACTACCCACAGGCACACACCTCTGGTGATGGCAGAGCAAGCTCCCAAAACACAGAACTGCACCAGGAGCTGCAGATGCCAAGCCCTGGCACAGGAGCTGCCCTTCCCATGTGGCTGAGAGCTTCCATGGATAACCTGCTCTGGGCTCAGGCAAACCAGCACAGAGAGGTGCACACAAACCTCAGCACTGCTGGCAGCTTACATGGCACACAGAAGGATGTTCTGAAAGCAGGAACTTAAAACAGGTTTGATACCAAAAATTATGTCCCAGCACCCCATGCAAACAAGATGATCCTCCCCCAACAGACATCTCCTGTTTTAGGAGGAAACTCAGGCCTGGGCTGCTGAGGGGTCTGTGGATATTCAAACTACAGTACCTGCCTCAGGACTTAAAAAGCCATTTTGAAAACTTTCTTGTTCAAAAATACAGAAATGAGCTTTAGCCATGAAGGATTCCTGTGCCTGCCACCATGCAGCTCCCTGAAGTTAAACTGAAGGTCAGAGCTCAGCACAGAAGGGAAGCAGAGCAGCCCAGGCTGCAGGAGATGACTGCAACCACTTCTCTACCAACCAGGAAAAGGAAAAAGCTGGAATATTGCAGGTTCTTGCTGCAGGGGTTTGATGCACACTTCCAGAGAAGCAGCAAGAACTGCAGGCAGAAATTCAGAGAAGACACCAGGCATGGAGCAGAAACCTCCAGCACTACGGGGGAATTTCAGTCAGATTTCACAGGAAATGACCTTTTAAAAGCAGGAAATTTCCATTTAAACAATGTTTTCATTTTCTCCCTTTTCCCTCCCCTCCCATCCAGAGGAGGTTTCCCAGGGATACAAAGCAGTGAAGCTCCATGGATGAGCCAGGCTCATTTGCTGTGACGGAGTTTGGCTGACGAGCTGGCTCATTGTTCCTGATGGGCTCAGGGAGCTCGGGACAAACCACAGTGGTTACAAAAAAGTACACACATGCATATTTCTGTCAAACCATTCTCAAGAAAAAAATGTCAAGAAAAATAAAAACCTTCCTCACAATACCAGAATTGCCAGATGAAACAAAAATCCTTGTTCCTCCAAAAGCAGCGATGGTGGCAAAACAATTGCCGGCTTTGTTTGATACCAAAAATTAACATATATTAATTGCACTCTCAAATTTTCATTCTCACAGCCAGCACAGTACAGGTCCTCAATGAGCAAGAGCTTTCAGAAGCTATTTGAAAAGGGCATTCATTAAAAAAAACCCTCAAATGTTTGCTTCCATTTCAGTCGGGAACAAATCAGTCAGATTTTGTAAACTGCTGAGCCCTAATAGGATCCCAGGAGGTGCCAGAGAAACCCAGGACTCCACATTTGAAGTTCTCTTAAAGCACTAAGAGAACATAATTAACATAAGAAAATCCCTTTCTCTCTGCAGTGTTTTCTTAAGCTGCTCTAAAAGGAAAAGCAGGGATGCTCACCACTCCTCCCACACCATCCACCAGCCACGCAGGTCTGCAGGAGGAAGAGATGGGATTTGTTTCAGATGGGAAAATCCAACAGAGAAGTTATTTTTAAACACTTTTGTGGCCAAAAGAGAGTGGACTACTGAAAGGAGGCAGAGAAATAAGCAGAAATAGAACTAAAGAATTAAGAAAGCAACACCTGATTTCTCCTCATTCCCTCTGCACCAGGAAGAGCCAAAGTAAACTGACTGTCAGTGGTGAGAGTCACAGGAACTTCCTTGAGGTTAAATTGTCTTCAGAAGGATCCAAAGCTGACTACAGGCTGGGGAGGGCCTGCAAGAAAATGTCTTTCCTTCTGCTGTTTTGTTTCCTGACACAACTTTCACTGCTTCATGCTCACCACTTGTCACCTGGTTTCATCTGCACACCCACCAGCACTGCTCCCTTCCCAGGCACTCCAGTAACACCAATAACAAAAGAAACCACTCAAAACCCACAACTACCCCATGCTGCTGAACAGCTCCCTCCTCCATCTGCACAGAGAAACCTTAAAATATCTGTTCCAGAAGAGCTGGCATAGGAACACAGCAACACAGGAGCTCAGAGACACCAGAGGTGATGGGAAGATGCTGCTGATGATGGTGGGCTAAATGAGCCTTGCTTGGTCGTATCCTATGCAAGCTGTTCCAGCTCCAGAGCTCAGTCCCCAAGGGCACTGGGTGCCAGAAGCCAGCTCGCTCTCAGACCAAGGCCGCGGGTCAGCCCCCAGCAAGCAGGGAATATTCAGCTCTTAGTGATCAGGCAGCTCCTGTGATTTCAGCTTTGCTTGCTAGGTAGCTTTTCCCTTGGCCTAAGGCTCCAGCAGAGGGTAGAGAGAGGAGAAGCAGAAGACGCTGGCTGTTCCACGAGTATGGCTTTATTGGAGGGTCCGTGAAGGGTCTCAGCTCTTCTTCTTCCGAGTTAGCAGGGGTACAGTGTGCTACTTTTATACCCTTGGCCTGGATCCAATCCTGACCAATGGCAAAGGTGTTAGAGTGACCATAAGTGACCAATAGTAGGGTTAACACAATATTGCCTTACATGGCTCTAGGGATAAGGTACAAGGCGGATGTCCCTGGAGACAGGAAACTTCTTTGCTGCTGTGTCAGCATTCTGTTCTCCAAGGGGCCCTGGCTAAACCTGAGGGGTTTACTACAGTGGGCTGCCTGCAGAGGATGCAGACCCTGGTGAAAGGAGCAGGAGCCATGGGACACAGGATCTGTGAGTGAACACATGCCCAAGACAAGACAGGATGGCCTCAGAAGAGACTCCTGGAAACAACAGCCAAATCCTACTCAGGCTGTCCCCGAGCTGCAGATCTCCCAGGCTGGAGCACACACAGGGCTGCATCCCCACAGCTTGCCCTGCTCACTCTCAGGCCCTGCTTTCTGGCCAATTAACAAGTTTAATTATGACACCCATGCAGTTCCTGGCTGATGAGGTTTAGCCATTTCTAATCCCATTGATACTGTGCTCAACAAAGCAGATCTGGAAAAAGACAAAAAACCCTTTCCCTCTTATTGCTGGGTCTAATCAATGTGTTGACCTTGGCCATGCTGGTGCCCTGGAGCTTTGAGGCAGCTGCTTGGCCTGGCCTTGGCATCAAAAAAAAATTTAAGGCCATTCCATCTTTTTCATGGCTGATTCAGCAGCAAGAGAGAATGAGCTGAAGGCTCAGAGACAGGGCCTGCTTCAAGGTAGGCAAGGAACTCCCACAGGGTCTGGAGTCTCCTCCAGGTGGGAAGCACCTGATCTTCTCAGGGCTGCAGATACTTGGACAGGTGACCCTTCAGTTCACACCTTTTCTCCTCAAACTGGGCTCTCACACACAAAATGAATGTTTGCTCTTAGCTGCTCTGTGAGGTTTTTTTTGTCTGTTTCTGTGGCTTGATACGAACTGCTGAGCCAAAGAATCCCAGATTGGTTTGGGTGGAAGGGATCTTAAAGCCCATCCAGTGCCACCCCTGCCATGGCAGGGACACCTCCCACTGTCCCAGGCTGCTCCCAGCCCTGCCCAGCCTGGCCTTGGGCACTGCCAGGGATCCAGGGGAAGCCCCAGCTGCTCTGGGCACCTGTGCCAGGGCCTGCCCACCCTCCCAGGACAGAATCCCTTCCCAATACCTAATCTAAATCTCCCCTCCTTTCAGATTAGAGACATTAACTGAATTTTCCAGGTGCACTCAGAAACACACCTGAACCTACAGCTCTGTCAGAAACCTCTTCTGGCACCAGTACCTGTGGACAACATCACCTGTGCTCACTGGGCACACCCCACTTCATCACCTCAACCTACAAACCCTCCACATTCCCCCAGCTCCATCCAGGAGAAGACAGACCAGGAATCACCTGCACCAACACTCCCAGCTGGCACAGGACTGTATCTCTTGGAATATTTGTGTTTCCCAATCTGCTGCCAAAGCCATTCCCAGCACACCATGAAGTCACATCGAGGATGCTGCAGAACCACTCCTCAAGGCACC